TTGCTTCTACGTGGGGAAGTTGGCTTTTATTTTTATGAGGGGTCCTTGATGCTCTCTGGGCTTGCTTGTTTTCTTGCAGACATTTCATTACCCAAACTAGGTAACGTCATCAGTGCTAATGAGCACCAAAGGCCTCTCAGGTCAACCCTGAGCTACAAGTATTCTCCTTTATTAGCTTTTATTTTTAATTTTTGAATGCTGGGAGTTCACTGGAACCTGTATCTTGTACATTTAAAAGCAGCAGAACTGCTGCATTATAGTTAACTGAGGAGGAGGTTTAGTATTTATTTTTTTATTGGTGAGAATTGCATTTGGATTCATTCATTTGAATTTTGGCTTGGAAAAAAGATTTCCATCCTGCTTCGAGTGGCAGAGCCTCTTTGAAGTTATTTAAGTCCCTTTGGAATCAGTAACCGTGTTGCAGCCTTCTTGTTAAGAGCATTTCAGTGTTAAAGTATAATTGGCTGTTTTCAAAAAGAAATATTAGAGTCTTGGTGGTCCACATATACCTTTTACCAATGAATGAGACTAAAATTGCCGCTCAGATATCTGGCCAAACTTAGTGGGAACTGTACATTCCTCCCTGAAGTTTTAAGTTTGGAATTGTTCTGCATTTAAATGTCGAACTGCCACTAAGCATGTATAGTTGTATGTCACATATTCAATAATATCCTCACAGGATTTTGGAGGTTATGGATTTTATGATGTTCTCTTTTTGTCTGTTCTTAATGAGATATAAGGTGCTCTGGTTCAGTCTCTTTAATCTTAGTGTGTTCCTTCTTTCTACACAGCAAGAGGTGTGGTACCTTGGGAAGAAAAATGAGTGTCTTGCATTAAATTCACCGGAAATGAAATATTTTCTTATCCAGGATATGAAATCTCCATTGTTTGTAGAAATAACCAGAGCTTTGAATGCACAGAAAATGCCTAACCTTGCTTAATCTTGTCATTTTAGATGCTTCCCGGTATGAGTTTCCTGAAATGTTCTTAATGGACGTGTGCTTATCCCACATAAATTATTTCATCAAAGTTCTTGTTAAATATTCTGTAATGCAACCATTCTAGATTAAGGTGTCTTAACATGTAGTTTATGTAAGAAAAGTTTTAATAGTGTTCAACTATCTTTCAGCAATGTCATTTGGGTACTTTTACTGCTTTGTATGTATACTAAATGAGCTTGCCTTGGTTTTCAAGTGAACATTGAAATGATGATGTTTGGAACACCAGAATATCAGTGATAATCAATGATTATTGAAAGGTTCTTAACACTTTTGAATGCTGAAGAAATAGAAAAAGATTCTCAAAATTCATGTGGAATTTTGTCTCATTTGGACTTTCTGTGGAATATGAACCATCAGCGTAAACTCTTCTTCGTGTTATAAACATCCCATAAAAGGCATTTTGACACTACGACATTCTCATGAACTAGCCATTCCAATACATATTTTTTGGTTTATGGTTGTTTTTCCATCATATACATATGTATGTATCATACATATTTTTGAAAAGTCACTATGTAGATTTACTAGAACAAAGCAATAGGATTAACTAAATAGATATTCCTGTATTTAAGACAGATAGTTAAGAAGTAACTGTTTCCAAGATAGTTATATTTTCTAAAAGCTTGCTAACTTTCTCAGTTACAAAAATTAATCATCTTGGCCTTAGTGTGATGTGCACAATCCAAAAAATATTAATATTATGTTATGGTGGCGCAGTGGTTAGAGTGCAGCACTGCAGGCTACTTCTGCTGGCTGCCTGCAGTTTGGCAGTTCGATTCTCACCGGCTCAAGGTTGACTCAGCCTTCCATCCTTCAGAGGTCCGTAAACTGAAGACCCAGATTGTTGGGGGTAAGATGCTGACTCTGTAAGCCATTTAGAGAGGGCTGTAAAAGCACTGTGAAGTGGTACGTAAGTGTAAGGGCTATTGCTATTTAGCCTCCATATTGAATCTCTCTATATAGGCAGTCCTTGACCGATGACCACAATTGGGACCAGAATTTCAGCTGCTAAGCAAGGAAGTTGTTAATTGAATTGTACCTATTATATAACCTTTTTTATCATGGTTGTTAAGTGATTAAAAGAGCCGAGGTGGCGCAGCAGTTAGGATGCAGTACTGCAGGCTACTTTAGCTGACTGTGTTCAGCAGGTCAGCGGTTCAAATGTCACCGGCTCAAGGTTGACTCAGCCTTCCATCCTTCCGGGGTAGGTAAAATGAGGACCAGATTGTTGGGGGCAATGTAAATATATATATACATTGCTTACTGGTGTGCACCGTTTAGAGAGTGCTTGCACTTACAGCAGTATATAAGTCTCATAAATAATAAATAAATCACTGCAGTTGTTAAAGGAATCACTCAGTTATTAAGCAAATCTGGCTTCTCCTGTTGACTTTGCTGGTTGGCTGGTAAGGTTGCAAATGGTGATCACATGACCTTCCATGCCACAATGGTCATAAATATATACTAGTTGCTAAGTGCTTGAATTTCGATCAAATGACTGGAAATATTGCACTAATGGTAAGTGTGAGGATTGGTCATGAGTCATTTTTTATTGCCATTGTAACTTTGAACGGTTGCTAAACGAATGCTTGTAAGTTGGATACTATTTGCATCCTAATGTAGATTTTGGATTTCTTTATTTTGAAGACTGCTGAATTTCCTAGCATAACAAATATAGTTCTTTTTGCTCGGTGAAATGTGCTTTTGATTTGCCTGTTTGATTTGCCTGTTTGAGAGGAAGTCTGCTCCATCGGAAATTTGGTGTGCTTAGAGCACTAGGATGTAGAGCACCATTTATGTTCCAACCAGTATTTTTCTGGCATATGGGCATCATTTAAATTCATATTTATTTTTGACTGCAAAAACAGAACCGGATTGAGTTTGGGATTTTTAGCATTTCTGAAAGTAGTTTCAGAATGGCCTCCTCTTATACCTTGATGTGAATAAGGTGAAATCAGAATAAAACACAGTGCAAATTATCAAATATTGTTCAACATATATTGTGTGCAACTACTAAGTGAGGCAACTTCTTTACTCCCACATCTGTTTTTCAGAACATTACATAGAATGTCATTGTTTAACTCAACCAGTTTTAATGGTTTTTACATTTAGTATCTGTAGAAATCATATAGATATAAAATTAGTTGCCGACACTGAAACCACAGCCCACTCCACTTTTCCTCATATTTTTTTTTGCTGTGTTGAAGGTTATGTAAGCATTTCCAAAATATACCTCACATGTTTTATGTGCTGAAAGAGGAAATATCTGTAAATTCAACTTTAAAAAAGAATCCTTTTGTTCCTTAAAAACCTCATAAAGTAGAAATACGTGGTTGTAAACAACTTGTCTTTCACTCATATTTTCAGAAGACCCAGTTGATAATTTGATAACCACATTTCCCAATTATATGTAGCTAAATGCATAGTTTGCTGTGGAACTCCATTGGGCAATAATTTTATTCAGGAGCATAAAATCATGAAATTATACTGATAGCATTCTAGCTGTTTCTCGCTAGAACTGGAGATTGAGACAAATAAAAACTTTTCTCCAACTTGCAAGTCTAGCTTGATTTACAGCAGGCCTCCTATCCTGATGAACAAAGTTCTATTGTACAGAGGTGCCAATTCAGCAGCTTGCCAGGCATTCAGATGTTGGCATTTATTTTGGGGTTTAATAAGCTAATTCAGTAACTGCTAGTTTTAACCAGCTGTTCCAAGTGGCATGGCAAAGGATACTGTAGCTGAAACTTTTCCAAAGTATAACACTTCTTTCAGGGAGGGATCCTGTAGAGCATACAATGGGTTCAAGGTCCTTCTGTAAAATTGGAGGAGAAAAAAAGAGTGAAGTAGATAAAATGATCTTCGGAGTGAAAATTAAACAATCTTGAAATTGTGGTCTGATAACAGTTTGGATTCTTCTGTTTCTACCCCTTCTAAGTCATGTGAATTTTGTAAATGGAAAAAGTTTGAGGTCTATCAAGCAGCAGATAACATAGTGGAACCCTTTTCAGCAGTTGCTTATCTTTTGTCCGTTTTAATGCTGATTTGGGTGCATAAACAGGATGAAAATAACAGTGGTAGGAAAATTCAGTAGCTAGAATCAGTTACTCTTATAAATGTTGAGACTCTAGAAAGAGTACAGAGAAGAGCAACAAAGATGATTAGGGGACTGGAGGCTAAAACATATAAAGAACGGTTGCTAGAATTGGGTATGTCTAGTTTAACGAAGAGAAGGACAAGGGGGGACATGATAGCAGTATTCCAATATCTCAGGGGCTGCCATAAAGAAGAGGGAATCAAGCTATTTTCCAAAGCACCTGAAGGCAGGACAAGAAGCAGCGGGTGGAAACTAATCAAGGAGAGAAGCAATCTAGAACTAAGGAGAAACTTCCTAGCAGTGAGAACAATTAATCAGTGGAACAGCCTGCCTCCAGAAGCAGTAAATGCTCCAACACTGGAAGTTTTTAAGAAGAGACTGGACAGCCATTCGTTCGAAATGGTGTAGGGTTTCCTGCCTGAGCAGGGGGTTGGACTAGATGACCTCCAAGGTCCCTTCCAACTTTACTACTATTATTATTATTATGTATCGTCCCTAGGTGACTTCTGTTTTTGCAGAAAAATCAAAGTTCTTACAGCAAGGATACAAGCAAACTAGCCTTTCTTTCCTTCTTTCTTTCAGCAAGAAAAGTATTCACACTGTGAACTTAAGAAATCTCCATAGTTCCCCTGTTGAAAACTTCTTTTCTGAATGTATTGATGCCAAGTATATCAGACAATAAAAATTTAGAGTGTTTTTCAGTTAGAAAACAGAAAAGCCTGAAAGGGAGGGGAGTCATTTATAAAATTGGGAAATGAAGTTAGTACATTGAATGCAGATCTGGTGTGGCCTTTACTCTTCTAATTTTAATCCTTGTCAACAATTTGCAGGCACTATTTTCAGAGCGATTATCAAGCCTTAGACAATTGTTGTTTAGCATCCTTATTTTCTTTTTCTGGCAGATGCCTATTCCACCTCTTCCAACGAAAATGGAGCAAAATCTGATTCTGTGGCTAATTTGCAGCCCCACACGTCCCTTAATTCCATCCAGAGCTCCCCTGGTCCAAAGCGTTCAACCAATACCCTGAAAAAATGGCTAACAAGTCCTGTACGTCGACTGAACAGTGGGAAAGCTGACAGCAACATCAAAAAACAGAAGAAAGTACGTGAAGGAAGGAAGAGCTTTGACCTAGGTTCCCCCAAGCCTGGAGATGAAACCACACCTCAGGGAGACAGTGCCGATGAGGTACAAGTACACTTTGCCATTATATTTTTAAGAATACTAACTTGAGCCTAACATTTTCATTTCTGCTATTCTGCTTTTCAATAGCTGATTAAAAATCATGATTGACAGTCTAATCTAGACTACATCCACACACCCTTTTTGTCCCAGTGCCAAGTTTATCTACCAGACATAGTCTTTGTCTCAAGAATCTGAAGCAAGTGGTCCAGTAGGGGAGTGGTATTTTCATTTGGAAAAGGAAATAAATGTCTCTGTGAACATTCTGGCTTGTGCAGAAGAGGAGTCTCAAGGACCTTAGTGACCTGAAAAGCTCCAGTTGGATTGCTGCAGGACCATCCCCACCCCCCACCTGCATTGAGGTCTATAACTCCATTCCCACTTCTGCTTTACCCTACTGGAAAGCACAGTGCCTCCCTAGCAGCCAACATTCTCTCTTCTTTTTTTTTTCTTGTTAAGCTGAAGAAGTAGGAATAATAATTTTTGGAAGATGTTTCACAAGGTTGCTTTTTCTATCAGTAACCTCTGCAGTGTTCTTTGTCTCCTCTCCAGGAGGCAGGGAGCCTTGCTTAAAGGAGAAGCAACAGCATCCCTGTACCTGCTCTTCTGGCCCCACACCTTCAAGGCAGTCTTTGAACAGCCACAGTCCCACCCTCATGTGAGGTTGGCCCTGTTTTACAAGTGTGGCAGGAACGGTGTGTGGGTAGTGATTTTCAAAGTGGTGCGTTTTCTTCCTGTCTTAAGCATATCACTGGGCATGTGGGGAAAAGACCCCAGTTTAATGCTGAGATTGAGCACTGATGACAGGAACTGGGTGAATCGCTCTTTTGTTGCCGTGAATAATACTTGAGTGAAACAATGAGTAAAGTAGCGTTTAGACAATGGAAGTAAATGTGTGAAAACTCATTCTCACATATATTATTTTCTTATTCTAATTTTGGCTCCGTATTATGGGGTGACTCGGTACTTACTCTTCCACAAATAGAAGATTGGTATAGAAGGAAGGTCACAGAAGAGCATGGGGTTGTTGTTTTTCCTGCTATCCCTAAAGTTTCTATCATTATGTCCCACAGTATTTTCCCAATTCTCAAGAAGACTGTAGGAGGAGTTGCCTTAGTCGGGGAGAAGCAAGAATTTATTCATTTATTTGATTTTTGTACACTGAATTCAAATTAATTTTGATATAATAAAACATAAAACTGATTTTATTTTGTGCGGTTTTCTTTTAATCCTTAGTCAGATATTTGGACAGATTTTTTCCCTTTAAATTTTTCATGTCTTTGTAAACATGATTCTCTTGCTTTCAGAAGAGCAAGAAAGGGTGGGGCGAAGATGAACCAGATGAAGAATCTCATACACCACTTCCTCCTCCAATGAAGATTTTTGATAATGATCCTACACAAGATGAGATGGTAAGGTTCTAACTTTCATTTCTCCTTGGGATGACTTCATTAAAAAGAAGGGGGGGAACTCCATTAGGATCTAAAACATCAAGTTTGTTATATGTGGTTTTATTTGTTGATGCTTTCCTAGGCAAAAAATGGAACTGAATCATCTACTTTCAAAATCTTGGTTATACAGTATATTTAAGTGCATTGATTTCTTATTTCCTGCTTAAGTCTTTATAATTTAACCTGCCTACATTTGTAGCTTGATTTTTTTACTTTCATACTTTTTATAGGTATTAAATGATGCTTCATTTGTTTTGTTTGGACTTTTAGACTTCTTAGCAGTCAGACCTCTTAATTGTTTATTAAAGTTCAGTTAATGACCAAGAAAATTCTGGATACAGTAAACTCTCCTGAATTCTGAATATAGGGAAAATGTTGCATTCACTTTGGGCATTATTCTATTACCATCTTCTTCTATAAGCTAAGAGTAATTTTTAAAATCATACCCAAATGCTTCCCTGCTACAACAACAAAAAAAAAAAACAAGGAAAGAATTGTCTCATGGAAGAATATTTTCTCCTATTGATCTTGTCAGTGGGAATTCTTAAACTTTTGGTGAACATATTCGGATCCTAAGAAAGATATCTGATAGCTATTATTTTATAGCAATTGATCATCAACTAATTTTAAACAACTCCTCTCATCATCTCCAGCTTGTTTGAAGCCATGTATAATATAAGAATTTGATTCTACCATTCTCTGTTTGTATATTACTCATATCTTCTAGTCATTAATTTTCTTTTATCACTTATCTAGAATTGATAACTGGCAGAAGTCTGCCTTATTTCTCTCTTGAGCATCTTTATTAATATGTCAAAATTGTCTAATCTTCATATAAAACATTTTTAGTTATTCTTTATCTAGTAATTCATGAGGCATCCTGCATTGTGGAAAGTTAGATAACAATTCTGCAGCAGCTTTCCTAACAAATTCAAAAGTGCTAAGTAAGTTATTCACTCGCAGTTCACCATAGATTTGCAAGAATCAGCGGAAGGGCTGTAATTTTTCTCCTGAAGGCTGATTTCTTATCCTCTCTCCCCATAATCTGCTTCTTATGGAGAGGAGATAATAATAACCATGCCATTATTTGGAGCATTTTGATAGAATGCTCTACAGAGAATGATATAACTGCCCCTTGCTCTTGGGTACAACTTTGCAATATAGTTTTCAGCTTCTTACTGCTCTTTTGACTACAAGCAAATAAAAATACTTCTATGGTACCGGACAGCACAAAGGCTTTAATCTTTGAAATTTGTATTTTCATCGATTGCTAAAGATTGGAGTGCTTCATTTATAATCTAGATGTGTTGCATAACTTCAGGGGAAATATTGGCTGCCTTTCTGATCAGACAACTGAAGAATAGTCAATGTTGTGGATATTACTTGACTTGGAAGTATTACATATCTGAGTTCATGTATCATGTAAAATCATAATGTAATTTTTTGTGTTCACTCAGGCACTGCAGTTTATATGCCATGGTTTATGGCTTAGTGTAGTGTTTGAATTCAGTCATGGTGCTTATTGAATGAACTGTAGTGAAAACAAACTGTGATTCTGCATTGCTGTCTGTATACAGCAAAAGAATTAAAATAAATTACAAGTCCTTACTTTGCCAAGGGAAAATACATTGCTAGCAACTCTACTTTCCTTAAATATATTTTAATCATTATGGTTGCACTCACTTTGAAAACTGGAGTTTTTAGATCCCATGAATCTGGTTGACATAGAAATCTGAAAAAAGATAGGCTTTTCCAACAAGTAACAATGCTCTGTTTGCTACAGTTTTCTCAATAATTTTTGAAGCTTGCACCGCTCTATTATTAGTAAGTGCTAATTCTTCTACATTCCAGGTTAAAAAGTAATCTTTCTCATAACCTGGAATTGTTTTAATATGGCTTGTTGGTAGTCTATCAGTCACACAGAATCAATGAGAGTAGATAAACAACATTCTTAGTGCACAATATTCTTAGGGAATAATGCAATAAGAATGATACATCACTCACTAACAGTTCTTAGCAAACCTTCATCTGGCACTGCTACCTAATGCTTGTACAATAGTCCATTTTGTTGAGAGAGTTATTTGCCTGTCACTACTTGGGTCCAATTCAACCACACTTATTAATTTCACTACAATTTTCTTGAACTTTGATTATTTTACTCCTCCTTCAGGGAAGTCTACATCTGTGGAGATCATTAAATTATATAAAGATTAGTTTATAAAGAGCCTTCTACCTTCAAGAGCACAGGTGACCCACATCTAGGTATTACACAATTCTCAGATTGATTATACATTTTTCTGAATATGCTCAGTTCTTTTTGCATAGAAGAGTTGGAACATGGAAAAAGATATTTTTGAGAGCATGTAGTATTGCTTTTGAGTATTTTAGGAGTCAGAATCAGCCCACTGCTTCAAATGTTACTTTCTTAAGGTAGAAAATGGGTGGGGAGTAGTTCTGGATATATTGTAAAAATATCTAATGTTCTGTGAAGTGTTGCCCACAAAAATTGTAGCACGAATTGAAGCTATTTTGTTTTCTTTTGTAGATTCTTGCTTGATAGTTTTAATGGAATAAAGATGGTAGCTTGATAGCTTTAATGGAATAAAGATGGTAGCAACTGACATTCTTATCTCTCTTTCCCACTCACATTTTCAATGATGTCAGTGGAAAAAAATAACAGTCTTAAGTCCTTTTTTGTTTTTAATATCAAATTATATATTGAATACCTAGCAGCATTCAGCAATCATGCTTGGTACAGAAAGATTTCTGCTGATAGAATACTGGACTAGCAATACAATTAGCTTGATTCAACTTTTTCCTTGTACTACTTAAGTATAAAAATTAACATAGTAAGAAAAGAAATACATGTATTATAGGAAGAGAAGAAGCAAAGCCTTATTCTTCCCCACATCCCCAAATATTTTACATATTTAACATCTGCTGATTCAGAAGAACACTGTTGACATCTTGAAATATGTAAACAAGAAGAAAACTGATCTCTTTGGCATTTTTATTTTGCTTTCGGTAAAAAAAAAAAACTTTGAACCATCATGAGCATAAATTCTAATCACAGCTTCAGAACTGTTTTTTTGTTTTTTTGAGGGGTGCCAGTCTGTTGTTGAATCCTGTGCCTTGTATATGTCATGGTCTTTTCCCTCCCCCATAAGCTCTGCCTGCTTCCACTATGTTTTTCCTGCTTTAAACCTAATGTATGACCTCAAACTGCTAACAGCTTTCCTCTTCTCCTTCCTGCTAACCCACTGTTCCTTTGCAAACTGGTGTCTTGCAGTCTTCCTCTTTGCTAGCTTCTCGACAGACCAGCTCTGATGTCCCAACTGCTGCGGATCTTGTCAGTGCAATAGAAAAATTGGTCAAAAGCAAGCTGGTAAGTGTAGAGTCCTGAGATCCACTGGACAAAACTATAGCGTAGCTACACAGAAGGTCAGTTAGTCTCTGTCCCAACCGATCCTGCTTTCTCATCATTGTTGTTCTGCACATTTGAATATCTAACTAAACATGTGTTCTGTAGGTTTTTTTAGTTGTAAACTGAGATAACATCTTTGTAAAATTGAACAATGCTGATTCATTCATTGTATGCATTATTCGATAAGCCTGTAGGCATGCGATTGCAGCTTTCTTGTCATCACAACTTTTTTGACATTAGTCAGTGAAAAAAATGACCATGCAAGTCAATATAAAATGTGTAGAAATGCTGTCATGAAAATGTTTTCAGATGTGTTAGCTGTTTTAAATGTTTGCTGTAAGTGATGCTTATTGTTTCATGTATGGTAATCACACCTTTTTTGCCACTATAGAGAGTTAGTTTTGGAAACTTTGGTTCAAAAATATTTAGCATTGTTTATGAAGCCGTATGTTCATTTTAATGTTTCACCTTCAGTTAAAGAACTTCAGTTTACCTATAAATGAAGACTGTACAGTGCAATGAGGAAGGTGAACAAGAATAACAATCTTAGATAAGAATGTTTAGTAACAAGCTATCTTGAACAGAATAAAAGAGCTCCAAGGACTGTGCTTAAAACTAAACAACATTGCACAATACTTTTTAATAATTGAACATTACAAATACTCAGCTAGCTGAAAGAAAAGTGACAGCAACTCAGTATTGCAGCTGGCTATAATATAACAATTTGTTTTAATTTAATTCCTTTCAAAATTAACCTTGTGCCTGTAGTTTTATATCAGCCTTCTACTTTCTTCCTTTTTCGTGTATCTAGATTTCTGCTCATCATGTTAACATTAATCCAATTTTCTCTGTGTTTTTTTTTTAACTGGAAAACAGTACCGGTAGTTTAATCTCTGCTTACAGACAGGCATCTGATCTTGAGAGGAAAAAATTAATATCCATTTATTTAGAAGAGTCGCTATGCAGACAACACTCCTGTTATGCTAGAAACCTTAATCAAATACTGAAATGTTTTATTCATAATTAGTTATTATAAATCTAAAATATCAGAGAAAACAAGGTAAATATGTTGTCTAGTTAGTGGTTATAATTTCTAGTTTTATCTTTTGTCTCCCCCCCCCTTCTTTATTTCTTAAGACATTGGAAGGGGGCTCCTATCGAGGAAGCTTAAAGGATAGTACTGGATGCTTGAATGAAATTGTGACACCTTCAACCCCTCCTTCAAGAAACCTCGAAGAGGAACAAAAGGCCAAAGCTATGAGAGGCAGGATGTAAGTTAATCTGTTATTGATCTGTTTTGCAACTGTATATCTGATGCCCTCTCCTACTAGAGTTTAGAAATGTCTGTGGGAAGAAACTCTCTCTCCAGCCGCAGCCCATATTATCAAGAGCAGATTTATTTATTATTACCTTTTTATCCTGTTTTTGTTACTTTGTAAGTAACTTGAGGCAGCAAACATTCCTAATACTCCTTCCTACTCCTGTTTTCTCCACAACAACGGTTACCATATGAGGTAGGTTGGGCTGAGAGAGAGATTGACCAAAAGTCAAGCTGTCAGCATTCATGACAAAGGCGGCGCTAGAACTCATGGTCTCCTAGTTTCTAGGCACCACTTTAACCATTACACCAAACAGGGTCTTATCATAGATTTGATATATCCACAAGTGGAGAGGAGAGCAAATTTTATTCCACTAGAAAAAAATTCTTTGCATAAAATTGGATGGAGTCTAAAAAGTTGATAAGAGTGATAATATCAGAATCAAGTACTGTAGGACAAGGAAAGTATAGACATTAGCCAGTCCTTGCCTTCTATCCATTGGAGTTGTCTTGGTTTAATCAAAATCACATTGAAGACGTAAGAGATTCAAAGACAATCAGATCTGCTGAAGGCAATGGGAGCAAACTAAACCTAGTTCTTCATTAAGTTTTTATTTTTATATAATACAAAAGATAAGTCAATAGAAGATGAGAGTTATTCTGGTATGCTTTCAGCCAGCTTCTATCACCTTGCCTTTTTTTTTTTTGACTCAGCTCATCTTTTCAGTATGAGGATATTCAAATTTGGCACTATTCAGAATTTTTTGCTTAATAGGAATTGCATTACTGACTAACTAGTCGCACTCCATTAATTTAGAAATAGTTTTGGGCAGTGCTTGGAGTACAAGCCTTGTGAAACCAATATACACCTCTTTTGAATTCTAGGTTTGTTCTAAATGAACTGATACAAACAGAGAAAGACTATGTCAAGGACTTAGGAACTGTGGTGGAGGTAAGTTAAAATAAATTAGTTTAGATATAAACTGTTTTTCAATAAAAAACTAATACTGAGAACTTTTAAATCACAATCTGATTAATATTGACTTTTTGCAAGCCATTCTAAATATTCTTAAAAGTCTAACTGATTTAAACTCATCTAAACAAGTTGTCAGCAAGTCCTTAAGGCTCATCTAAACTTGACATATCTCTAAACTATTAATAAGGAAACTAACAGAAGCATGATGCCTTGCATATAAAGATCTGCTATTACAATGAGTAGTTGATTTTGTTTGCTAAAAAATGAAGATTATTACTGCTCATATTCCTGTCTGCCATTGCTTAATCACTATTTTTTTTCCTTTCCAAGGGATTTATGAAAAGAATAGAAGAAAAAGGTGTTCCTGAAGATATGAAAGGAAAAGACAAGATTGTATTTGGAAACATTCATCAGATCTATGATTGGCACAAAGAGTAAGTCTACAAGCTATTATAAACAACTAATGTTAAATTGTACAATATTTATATACATTTAATTTGACCAGTCATTACTTCTCTCTTTCTTCTCTCGTTTGCAAACAACCCAAATATCCAGATATTTCCCATTAGCATAGATCCACTTCTGGCACTGTGTCGCATAATTATTTTTGCTGTATTCTAAGTGCTTTCTATATACATTCTATATATACACACTTTCTATGCTTTCTGTTAGAAAATTATGTTTTTAATGTAGAATTTGTACATATGTTTTGGCATGGGACATAAATGTGTCTCACAGTAATCATTCTGCTTTTATTGGTTTCTTTCAACCTTTTCTCTCCAAAATTCACTCTTGAAGTTACTAAATAATGGTTTGTCCTACATTCAGAACATCTTGCTATCTTTGTATGCTTCTTTCATTTTCACAGTTTTGTGGTAAACAGTTAAATCAGCCATGCTTTTTGTTTAATTCCTTTTCCATCTGCACATATGTATAATTAGACTTATGCTGTAGTCATGTATTTGAAATATAGTGTTTTCTAAGCATATGTTGACCAAAAAGTCATCATTGGCATCAGTGGTGGGATTCAAATTTGTGAACAACCGGTTCTGTGTGTCAATGCCACTTCTGGAAGTCCATTCTGGGCCTGAGCAACTGGCCAGGTTCTGCCGAAGTGGTGCGAACTGGCTGAATCCCACCACTAATAGACATTAATTCCTTGGTTTTATCTCATTCCCATCCATCTGTTCTATCACCTTACAGAATTTGCTTTTCCCTTGGGTTGCCTTCATGTAGAAAGTTACACAGATTCCCTCCAAATTCACCCATAGGTCTTCCAGTATCTTCATTCACCAGACAATAACATGCAATTACCACAAATCTATATACTTCTGCTTTCAGATGCATCCACAGCAATTTAGATGATACATGTTTTTATCATTTCATTCATAATTATCAGGAAGTATTCCACTTTTTTGCATGTATTTTTCAACTCAATTTCTCGAGGTCAGGCTATCTGAATTGATCTTTACCGTATTCTCTCCATGTGGTTTGTATATTTTAAATGTTTAATTTTTTTTATTTTTAATGATAAGTTTTTTATATTTTTATAAGGATTGTCTTTATGTAGTTTGTCAATGTAGTTTTACAGTACTGTAGAATTAGCTCATCTGTCTGTGATTTCTATCTGGTTTACCCTGCAACATTAACAGACAGGGAAAACATTGTTCCAGAACTGTCCTGATTCTTCTTTAGCTGTTGGCATTAGCTGAAGAAGATTATGACTTATTTTTTTTAAACAAGGGTTGCTATTGTATTGCACCTACTGTTCTTTTGTCGCTGGACTTATAATCCTGGCCCTTTCTGTTATTTAAAACTGTGCCATGTGAGGATCAATAGGATTTTGCATTTTTAAACAATATTTATTTTAAGACATTAAGAACTGCCAGTTGGAATTAATTGTTGGCATGACAACTGTCTGAAATGTGAGTAGAGTGATATTTGCAAGTAAATACAAATTCAGATGAAGCTACAATTTATATGAGAGTACTAGCAGAAAAGACAGAATAAACTTGAGATTTAAGACAGAGGAGTTTATAGAACTGCAGCCCCTCTTTCAGAGGTAACTAATGTAACATCGAGTTTATTTTCTAATTATAGAATTATACAGTGTGTCAATGGAGCATATTGGAAAAGAGGGATTTTGAGCATAGTTTGCCTATTTTATATTGCAGCTTTTTTCTTACTGAACTGGAAAAGTGCCTTCAGGAACATGACCGTTTAGCACAGCTCTTCATCAAACATGTGAGTGTTACAAGTTAGACTTTTCTTAAAAAGAAATTAAATGCATTTCAAATCTGGCATCATTTTTTTAAAGATATCAGATAAGAATTCTAGGTCACGATATTCTGATTTTCCATAAGTTATAAAAATACACTATTTCACACATTTTTCTTTTCTAGATATAAGCAGTATTCAGTGGTGGAATTCAAATACAACATCCGGTTCTCTAATTTGATGCAGGCCTGGGCCTCCGAAGCCTAGAATGGACTTCCAGAAGTGGCATCCATACTCTTCCAGTGGGTTGTTCTAGGCCTGGGAGGCCTTCTCCAGTCCTCCGAAGCCTAGACTGGATTTCTGAAAGCCAGCTGGTTCTCCGAATGCAGCAAAATTTAGCTACCAGTTCTGCTGAACTGGTGTGAACTGTCTGAATCCCACCACTGGCAGTATTTTAATTTCAGTCATAATACAAAAAAGCTATATTTTGCTTAGCATTTTCTTACAATTCAAACAAAATAATAAAAAGGAGTCTTTGCTGAACATTTAACTTGCAACTCTCTTAAACTAAAATGATTGTGCATAATAATTAGGTTTTTCTTCCTAGCTATAGCCTTGTCATTGTATTTAGGAAACAGGTCTTTAAAGAAAAAAAAATCTAATGTAGTATAGATGTAGAAAAACAGAACACACACCTTCAAGTAATACATTCCAGAATCTAACTTGCAAAAGGTTATCTGAATGAATAGCAATCAGAGTTCAGACCAAGAACTGCATGGTTAACATTTAGAGATGATCTTTGGAGAAACAAAGACAGAAGGAATCCAACTCTCTTGGTCCTTCTTAATGTCTCAGTGGCTTTCAGTGCCATCACTCATGGTATTGTTCTATTCTTACTCCATGGGATTGGAGTGATGGGTACCATTCTTCAGTAGTTCAATTTTTTCCTAAGAGAACTGATCCAACCTGTGTGTGAAAGAGAGAGAGACAGAAAGAAAGAGATTTATCCAGGGATTTTGGTTAGAGTGATGCAGGAAACTCTGCTCTCATGAAACTGCTGGGAGAGGTCATCCATTGACACAGGGTCAGATATTGGTGGTATGCTGATGGTATTTAACTATGTATTCAGCCCTGCACCAATTACACAGTGTTGTAGAAGTGCTGACCCCTGTACCTAGGAGGAGCAGGAATAGATTTAGATTGAAACCCTTTAAAACAAAAGTGGCTTTGGTTAACGGCACCATCTGAATGTTTTCCTCAGCTTAGTGTATATATGAACTAATCTTTTGTTCTTTTGTTTTCTCCAACCTTTTAAGGTGCTCCCATCATTTTTTTATTAGATTAGCAGACAGAAAAAAATGTGCATGATTAAATTCATTTTTCTGCTCTGCCCAATGTCTGTGAAAGTTGTAACATCAGCTTATTCTAAAATAGCTGTGTATTTCACTTTTTACAGGAAAGGCGATTACACATGTATGTAGTATACTGTCAAAACAAACCAAAATCAGAATACATTGTAGCTGAATGTGGTACATATTTTGAGGTAAGTTCAGATATGAGGCCTGATTTCCTTTTTCTTCTTGTTTTTTCATGATCTACACCAGAAGGTTTTCCCCTGCTTGGACAGTTGGCTTTGCTCTTGTGTTGTTCTGCTTTTTTAGTAAATGCTTCCTCATATTTAACAGTGGATATTTGTTCTCGGGTAACACTTGGCTTCTTAGCTGGCAAAAGTGGAGAATGTATACGTGAGTAAGGAATGGAAGAGAGTAGTTCCTGAATACTAACTAGTTTCTCACTTTCAATCAGATTAAAATTTTTCCTAAAACTTTAATATAGAAATTAAATCTCTGGTAACACTGTTTTGAATTTTACTTGCAAATTAGGGTTACTTTCGGGTTATATAATGCTCTGAATGACAAGTACTGCTGATAATGTGGCATTGCTTTTAGTAAAAAGCAAGGTTAAATTTCTTATAAATACATCAATTAATTATTACACTACATTCTACATTATTTTGAAGCAGATTCATGACTGATTAGATAAATGTACATAGAAAAGATACAGTAAGGCATGTTATCAAGTATTTTCTGAATAATGGCATTCTGCTTGTTATAGTACAGATGGTCCTTGACTTACAATCACAGTTGGGACTGGAACCTCAGTCACTGAATGAAATGGTCATTAAGTGAGATGTCATACAACTGCTTTGCTCAACAACCACAATATGGGCACTCCAGGTTGCGGATGTGGAGCAATCTCATGGGTCTTTAACCTGTTGGAACTCCAAGGACTGTCTTGACAGGGTGGAGGATACTTCGGCAAAGCTTCACTGAGAAACTGAAAATCCACCCTGCCAAAACCAAGCAGGATTTTCAGCTCCTGAATGGAGAGACACTTGCACGTAGTGTATACAAGACCTCCTAGGATCTTCCTCGGCTGCCTGAGGCACTTTTTACTGTGTTACTTCTCCATTTCCTACTTGGATTTCAACTCCCACTTATCTCTAGGGGGCTGGCTGAAAAAGCTGCCTGCCAAAGCAGGCAACAGCTGTTGGCAACCTTCTTTGCCAACTTCCCCATTGACTTTCTGGGGAGGTCTGCAGAGAAGATGGTAAATGGTGATCATTTGCTCATAGGGCACTTGGCAACCAGTTGAAAGCGATTCAACTGGTTCTGTCCTGTATTCTCTAGCTAGGTTGCCCAACATCCAGACAATAATCATGTGACCGTAGGAGTAGTGGTGCAACATTTTGCAAAGGCCAGAGGTGCTTTACAAACCATCCATCATTATAGTCATGAATTGAAGACTATCTTTGTTTAGATGATGGGCTACTCATTGTAAGATGTTCCGTAATCTCAGACTAATTTTTGTAGGCACAATTGTTGAATCTGAGAAACTCTAAGTGTGGTCAGTGCTCTGATTGGATCCCACATATGCTCCCTTGAGTCTCATGGGGGGGGGAAGCAAAGGAGAAATTAATTATTTTCTCTCAACAGTGATTTCTTCTACTTTCATTTTATAGGAAGTGCAACAAGAAATAAACCAGCGGTTAACTCTCAGCGACTTCTTAATTAAGCCCATTCAAAGAATAACCAAGTATCAGTTGCTTCTCAAGGTAAAACACATCAAAAGATAACAAATGTGAGGTATATCAAAAATTCATCAGTGACTGAAGTATAATTAGGAGGGCCTCCTTAAGGGGAGCTGGGCAGCTATATGCATTAAATAAATAAGTGAATAAGTACTGTGTTTACCTGTTTTAGCCAGCAGTATTACCCAGCTAGTTTGTTCCAGTTTGTGAAAATCAGCTTTAATTATTTTGGTATTTGCTGGACTGCTTCCTGAAGATATCATTCATGCTGGTCCTGGTGCTGAGCCTGATCGCTATTCCAAGGACCATGTGTGTACAAATACTGTATAGATAAACTCACCATCATCTAGTGGACATCACGATGAATTACTATTGGAACCAGATATCTAATTATGTAACTCCACTGGTTTTAGTTGTGTGTTTTTTAAAAGTAACACATACAAGGGTTCATATAAAAAGTCTTTTATAATTTTAGTAAAGTTTTATGAACTTTTTCCATCCACATGAATGGAGCTAAATACTACAGTCTTCATCAGGAACTCTGTTCTGTGTGCCTCTATCGATCACACAAAGTAAAATGTTATTTAGGATCAAGCCTTTGCAATCAAAATGGTGGCATCTCTTTTATGGAACTCCTCTCTCTCTCTCTCTCTCTCTCTCTCTCTCTCTCTCTCTCTCTCTCTCTCTCTCTCTTCTCACCTCACCTCACCTCACCTTATCTTATCTTATCTTATCCTGAATTTTGGAATAATTGTTCCTAAAAGAATGTTAACATTTTTAATATTAAAAATGCAACTTTCAGCCTGCCTTTTGGTCTATCTTATCTTATCTTATCTTATCTTATCTTATCATCCTGAATTTTGGAATAATGGTTCCTAAAAGAATGTTAACATTTTTAATATTAAAAATGCAACTTTTTCAGCCTTCCTTTTGGTTGGCATTAGTTATCTCTTATAAAGAAGAAAAGCTATGATTACAGGCAGATAGAACTATTTCTTTGACTTGTATTGCACATGCAGTGTCACAATTTAAGTACATAACTTCAGTCATACATTTTATTAAGTATATAATCAGATGGTATGTACTATACATAAAATAGGTTTAAGTATAATTCCAGATAATTCTACAAGAAGACAACAATCATATTCATCTTTAAAAGTGCATTTAAATGTTAATTATTTTTAAGAGTGATATTCTTTCCCATAGGATTTCTTGAAATATAGTGAAAAGGCTGGATTGGATTGCTTGGAAATAGAGGTACAGTTTGTTAACTTTTATTTTACTTGGTGACTGATACACTTTTTAAAAAACTGTTTAATTGTAATACATTTGGATATTTCTAATTGGAGATTGAATTCCTTCCACCTTCACTACCTCCCAGCAAGTGGGCAACAAAGCAAGAGTTTATGGTTACCCATCAGTTTCTAAAAATGCCTCTGAGGTCCACTTTTCTTTACATATTTCCAAAAAAATGTTATCCAAGCTCTTTAAAGTAATCAGTGGATTTTTGATCAACTGGAAACTGCATTTCTTCAAAGGTCAATTTGATGAATGGGCATCTCTTCACAATATATCCATTTTCTGATTCTGACCTGTATTCTCTAGCTAGAAGGGTTGATCCATGTGTGGTCCTAGTCAGAGTAGAATAGGGGGGGGGGGCAAACTGCTTTTTATTTGTTCCCATATTTACTCTGCTCCCTCTCTCTTACAGAAAGCTGTAGAGTTGATGTGCCTTGTTCCTAAACGCTGCAATGACATGATGAATCTGGGACGACTGCAGGGCTTTGAGGTATCCCTCTATTTCTTATTCAGTAATGCCAGTTACTTTCTTTTTTCTTGAAAAAACGATTGAGGCTTGTTGAAAACTTGTAAGAATGTATAATGGCCTCTTTCCAACAATTCTAGCTATTAGCAGCAGGAATATTAGGAGCTGTCCTCCAGAATATATACAGGCTTTGAAAAAGTTTCTGAGAACAGAGCTCATTCTCTCTGTTATTAAAGCAGATTATTTTTTTAGGTTTATGAATGCTTAAGTTCACAGAGTGGTAGGCTGGAGGTCTCTAACCTCCTTGAGCCCATCTTGTTTTCTGGAGCAGGTTGTTTGTTCTTATTGCCACCACATTTTAGAGCCATCTCATTTGGTGTCCACCTCTAATCAAAATGTGACAGAGTTGTTGTAACCTGTCTTACTAGTCTGGTAATTAAGAAGACAAAATGCAAAAGCTGAAACAATTTCTGTAGTGTCATTTATGTTTGTATAGAGATGACTAGAGTATTCCATACTCTAGATGACTAGAGTATCCCATGCTCATAAGCAATAAATCAACTTCACAATAGATAAAACACCTTCCAATTTTCTTTTAAAAACTTTTAAATTAAATTTAATCTTAAAATTCAGTGTGGGACACAGCAGCTTGCAGATCAGTCAATTGGAAATTATGGGAGCTTCATTTTGACACACTGGGAAGATGCCAGGCTAGAGAGAGTTGAATCTGTGACTGAACTCCATGGTGATGTAGACTAAGTTCTTCTTCATCTGATAATATACAAACCCAAATTGATGCTACAACTTTCATTTGGGGGAATCACAGTATCTAAAGGACTATTTCTTCCCCTATGTTCAAATTTGTGCTCTTGAGATTGTTAGCAGAGATCCTGGCTGAAGGGTCCTTGCCTATAAAAATAGAGTGGGGTTCTCTCCCAGACACCTCCAGTTAGAGGATGTGTGTTACCTATACTAATGTTTTTGAGGGTATTCATTCTAGAAGCATTTTAAATGGGTATACATTCTTGCTCTTTAATCTTAAAATGCTTCTGTTTCCATGGAAGTTATTATATCCATTAGTGATCATTGTCTGTTACTTGTTAGCCCCTGTCCCAATTCCTTTGAAATATTTTTGTGCTAACTTCATGTGTGTGTATGTGTGTCCTATTGGACTTTTGTCATTTTTATTTATAGAAGTTGTCCTGAGTACAATGTACTGCATAGCAATTAGTAAACTAAATACATTATTTTCCCGCATCCATTCAGTTTATGTTTGCTTCATTTTTTTTTTCACCTGTCTTAGGGCAAGCTGGCAGCTCAAGGGAAATTGTTGCAGCAGGATACATTCTATGTAACAGAGCAGGACTCTGGAGGGTTGTCTCGGCCAAAAGAACGCAGAGTTTTCCTCTTTGAGCAAATAGTCATCTTTAGTGAACTACTTAGGAAAGGCTCCTTAACACCTGGGTACCTGTTTAAGCGGAGCATAAAGGTAAGAAATTGATAAGACTGCCAGGTCAATAAGAAGTTTGCTTCTTTAAATCTTTTCTGGCCCTTTAGATGAAGGATAGACAGCTTTTTGTATCCCTAAGGGAGATTTTGTGGGGAGTCATATCTACCAGACTGATTCTAACTCCCTCCCTACCAACTGACTTCACTTTTCAGAGATCTTTTTGCTATGAAAGGTAGCTGCTTCTTTAATCAGTTTCCTTGGGTGAAAGAGCCTTCCTCCAGGAAAGAATGGACATCATCTCCATGTTTGCTCCCATAGCAAAACTAAGCAGTGTTAGCCTTCTTCCATGGGAGGAAAAGGGGAGTCGTGAGCTGCCCTATCAGCGAGGGAGAGCTAAAGGTGGAGGGCCACACTCTCCAATAGTCAACAGGTTACCTGGGGCCAATGGGAGGCATAGTGATGGGACACAAAAGAGATGCACCAGACCAAGTAAAAGTCTCCTTTTTCACTTCAGAAGATCAAAAGAATGAGATGATCAGTGCCTTTCTAGTTCTGTGCTTCTAGAATGCAGGTCGTCCTTAACTTACAGCGGTTCAGTTAATGATCATTCCAAGTTATAACAGCACGGAAAAAAGTGAGTTATGACCATTTTTCACACTTAATGACTGTTGCAGCATCCCTGTGGTCATGTGATCAAAATTTGGATGAATGGCAATGGACTCATATTTGTGATAGTTATAGTGTTGGGGGGGGGTCCTGTGATCACCTTTTGCGACCTTCTGACAAGCAAAGTCAGTGGGAAAGCCAGATTCACTTAACAACCATGTTACTAATTTAACAACTAGAGTGATTCACTTAACAATTGTGGCAAGCAAGCTTGTAAAATGGGGCAAAACTCAACAACTATTTTGTTTAGCAACAGAAATGTTGGGCTCAGTTGCGATTGTAAGTTGACGATTGTACTGATCATTTCTCTGAAGAACTTTAACCCGAACTAGCTAGCTAAGTAAACTAGAAGAAGTTGTAGTAAGTGTGGTCTTGTTTTATCTTTGTGCCACTTCATGTCTTCTTGTATGTTTACATGGGAAAACCAAAATGTACTAACTGGATGACTCCCTCTCAGTGCAACTGCTTAATGCTGTTACTTCTCCATATTTTGACTGCTTTTATAAAAATTATACATTTGTATTATTGCAATTTCTTCTCTTACTTTTTTGTTTTGCTGGCTCCAAACCTGAAAATCAATTTTGGCATATATTATATACCTTTACTAATGTCCTGGCAGATTTTTGCAAGTATTATGTCACATCAGCTCACCTATAAATCTTGAGTTTCTTCCAGAAACTCAAACCCAAGTCTGTTAATAGACTCTTGGCCATTCTTTTCCTAGCTTTGAGACTGGAATGCATCTGCTCCTTATTTAAGCCGTTATTATGTCTAGGTCTTAGCATCACTGTTTCTTGCCTCACCAACTTCATATATTTGAAAAAAACTTTTTTGCACATCTGTATAACTGGGCAACTCTGAATAATTAAACAATTTAATTTTAAACTTCCCATCTTGATTAATTAACATTAGAGGATGACTTTCACTAACTGAGCTATTTGAAATTCATCATCCAGTAATCACTGGTAGAACATATATGATTTTTCAGATTCTACGTTGATCCCTCACAGTTAAATTATGCAGGTTATAAATATGGTGAATAGAGGCCTTACTATTTGAATTTGAAAACAATGGTTCCTCAAAGGAAAAATAGGCTTCAGAACAGAATTACCATATTTTTTCATTATTGCACTGTTGTCTGAGGTCAGTGATGGTGAACTTTTTAGAGTCCGAGTGCCGAAACTGCAACGCAAAACCCACTTATGCATCGTCGGGTGCCGGGTGAGTGTGGCCCATTGCTGGATGTGGCCCATTGGGTGGGTGTGGCTGCGGTGGTAACGGCAGACTGGGTGGGACTAAATAGTTCAGTCAATCAATTCCAACTTTGCAAGATCTTTTTTTTCCCTGCGAGAGTTGAAATTGACTGATTGATTGAACTTTTTTTTTTTTTTTTGCACACGGCAGCGGAGGCCTAAAGCGAAAAGGTTTTATAAAACCCAGCTGAAGGCCTAGGACTGGGCGACGGTGCACATGCCCACAGAGAGGGCTCTGAGTGCCGCCTCTGGCATCTGTGCCATAGGTTCGCCACCACTGTCTTAGGTGATTTCTCAGTCCAGACAGCAAGATATAAGAAATCAACCTTATTCCTCCATATGGCTAGTAAAAATTAAAAACTTATGTGTAAATATATATATAATCCTATCTAAAAGTCTTCAAAATGAACTGAAAACTTTAGCCAGCAGAAAACATTCTCAAAATCACATGACTTAGCAAATGGCATAGCACTGTTAATGCTTATATGTATTGGCAAGATACCTGAAAAGCCATTTCAGATGATATTCATGTAAACAATTTGTTCTGTGCAAACAACTACAGTGATTACATGTAATTGTCTTTCAAAAAAAGAAGCTCAAAAAGATAATTCAAAAGATGAATATGCTTGGCAGAGCACTTGAAGAGCAAAACCAAATTGCATCTATAATGTAGCCCCCAGAAAAGAAATTAACTGAAGAAGCAAACCTGTTGCTCCTTTTATAGGCTGCAGTTGAAGGGCTACCTTTGAGTCCACTGCTGTATAACCAAATTCAGCATGATCCTTCCCATGTCCCTGGGTAGTTACTTTTGTTTTTTTTTCTGGCTACTTATAGATGACATATCTAATACTTGAGGACAATGTGGACAACGATCCTTGCAAATTTGCTCTCATGAATCGGGAAACATCAGAACGGTTCATATTGCAATCTGCCAATCCTGAAATCCAACAAGGTTGGGTACAGGATATCAGTCAAGTACTTGATACACAGAGGGACTTCTTAAATGGTAAGTATTTTGCTGCTGTGTTGAAATAAAGCCCAAGTATTTTGCAGTTGGCTGTAAAATTTTGGTTGACTCTTATTCCGACTTCAACCTGATATCAATTATATAGCCATCTTCATTATCTGTGTCATCCTTACTGTTTCTATCTTCACCTTTATATGGAAATGGTTAGAAAAAGGCCAAATGGATGTTAAAGAAATATCCATGTTACATATTAAAAACTAAATTGAAGCCTAGCAGATTGTTGACTCTATTGATATCTTAGTATTAGTGGTGTATATTTTATCTTAGATCTTTATGTTATCACTACTTTGTCTAATAGATTGGTTGTATTCACATAGGAATATACTTCCAAGGTAGGTAAGTCTAAACAGTTGACAGATTAATAACTTCTTGATAACTGCCAACCAGTAAAATTATTTTTTTAACTTTACTGGGCATCAGGTGCGGAGGGAACCAAACAATAATACATGTGTGACAAATCATCATGGAAATGCTGTCATTATGTATTTGCATTCCAATATCTGCCACAGGTACATAAGTTGTGCCATTTGCATGATTATATCAATACATATGTCTGGACATTATGACTTCAAATGGATGTTGTTGAACAATTCAGAAAAGTCAATGGAGAAATAGTGGTTGTTCCCTTATTTCAATATTACAGGCAACCATTTCTTTATTGGATGATTATTTGCATAGAGTTTAAATAGAACAACAGTTCATTCATTCATTTTAACTTAACCAGGAATATGTAGGGAAAATGACAGAACTTTTTCATTTCTCATGGTAGAAGCCTTCATCCTTATTTCTGGCACATATCTCACCATTCAGTAATAGCATGACATTGATACGATTTCTTCCTCATTTGGAGAAGACACTTCTAAGTTCTATAGAATATTAGCTTAAAATAGCACATGCTTCTCTTTAATAAGTTTTATGTAGCTTCACATGTTATGCAGTGATACCGCTGAATAGACCTATACAGCAAACTTAAAGCATGTCACTATCATGTAATATAAATTTTTATAAATGTGTGTAGTTAAAGGATGCATAATTGAAGTAGCTTTTGAGGTGTCTCTGCTTTTTTGTCCTTTGAGCTGTAAAGCTAGAATATTGGAAAAGTCTATGGCAACTCTTCATGAGACCTGAAATATCCAAAACTATAGCACTGTTTTCTTTGCTCATAGAGTTTTTAAACTTGCTCCCTCATCTTCCTAATGAAAAGGCTTCAGTTTTCCAACTGTTTTTAAGCTAACAACTGTCTAGCTTTCAGTTGTATTTGTAGAATTATTTTAAAAATATTATAGGGAAATTGGATGTACTAAACCTATCCTGGAAATTATGAATATAATTTTTGTTTTGTTTTCTTTTGAGGAAAATAATGGAAAATAGTGCCATTGATTTTCAATGATTTACAAAGGTCACTTGTGACCCATTCTTGCTTCATGATGTGACAGATGGGGAGTTCTGTTGTAACACATCATATTCTGTTGTAGCATTACAGTCTCCAATAGAGTATCAGCGTAAAGAAAGCAGCAGTTCAGCTGTAATGAGACCCCAAACCAGCCGGGCACCTCAGCCCATCACCAGACCCTATTCCTCAGGACCTGTAGGATCTGATAAAACTTCAAAGGCTACAATGCGCAACCCATCTCTTCCACTTCTGAAGATATCTACCTCCAATGGTAACACAGGGCATGAACAGTATCAGCCTGAGGACAGATATGAACAGAGCAAGGTAATGGAACCATGTTCATTCTAAATTTGGCTAACTATTGATCTGGTTAGTGGAGGAAGAAGTAGTGGAGACACAATAAACTATTGTTTCTTGAAGAATCTATATCTGACTAGGCTTGTACAATCCATATGACATTGTTTACAAATCGCAGTAGTTGACTTCATGTAACAGACTATGCCAAACCAAACTCAACAAAATTTGTCACATGAACCAGGCTGTACAGTAAAAATATAATATGCTCTGTGTGGTCATTAAATTAAGAAATATGTATGTTTCTTTTATTATAGTGAAAATACGGTGGGATATTAAGGAAAAACATAACATCTCACTGTATGAAGAATGAAGGAAAACTGCTAAAAAGCAAGCAATTGTATCTGTTGGCAGACATTAGGCATTAATAATTAAACAAATGTTTTTTATTGACACCTTTACAGTTTTAGGCTGTCTCTTTTGAATAAATGATTTAAGGAAAGGTTGCCTATCCATTTGGCTAAGCACCCATTTCCCCTTCAAAATTATTGTTCACTTCTGTGGGTCTCTAAATATGGATTTAAGCAGCAGACTATTGGGAATTCATGCACTTTGCCTCCAAAAGTGCCAGGGCAGATGAAGATTTCAGCTTTGATCAACAGGAAAGATTAATAAATAAGGGGCATAATAGCTTAACTGTTCCAGCCATCATTGTATTGTAATTTGCTTTAGATTTTGCCTCATCTGATTTGATTGAGCTGCAAGGATAAAAATGTAGCCCTAGTTCTACTCAATATTGACACTCAGTAATCTTTCTTTTGTTTCCGAGATAATGCTAGTACTTGAATGGTTTCCAGGCAATTAAAAAACAAGCTTTGGACATCTTTTTAACAGAAGCATATGCTCAGATTCAAATTTGAGAATACAATATTGTTTTCATATTGGGCCTTTTATTCTGAAATTGCTATTATACAGTTCAGTGTTAATGGTCCAAGCAAAATTGTATTAATTCCATTAATTTCAGTGGGTTTTTTATCCCCCTTTTGTTTTTTTCAGCTTGATTTGCGACACTCTTAAGGTACTAAAAAAATTAATACATCAGTACCTTATCTTGTATCAATGGATAAAATACTGCTTCAGTTTCTGAGGGGTGATTTGTCTAGCCATTTAATTGCCTTTGTGCTGGAAGGCACTGTACAAGACGATGGTGATGAAACATTAATATTATGTCACAGTTACCTTGTTGTTGTTGTTCTCTATGTTTCCTCTTCAGAATGACTTGGGTGGGTGCAATGGAACCTCTTCTATGGTGGTCGTCAAAGATTACTATGCATTAAAGGAGAATGAAATCTGTGTCAACCAGGGTGAAGTGGTCCAAGTACTTGCCATTAACCAGCAGAATATGTTCCTTGTGTACCAGCCTGCCAATGACCACTCACCAGCAGCAGAAGGATGGATCCCAGGGAATATCTTGGCTCCCCTCACTAAATCAACTACAGATAGTAGCGACGGAAGCATAAAGTAAGTGCTGTGTTGGATTCCCAGAGAGCAGTATGTGGATTTTTGAGGAAAAATTAAACACAAATGGTAGGATTTTCCTACTGTTTCCTTATATCTTCAGTGCCATTGGAACAAACTATGCTTGATAACACGGCATGGGGTATTCATCTTGGAATAGTTGGGTTTTTTTGTTGGTTTTTTTGTGTGTTTTCCCCCTATAATTTATAAAATATTAAAATCCATAGACAGTTTTAAATGCATGGTTTATGTTCTCCATCTTTTCCTAATCATGGATCTAATTGACTGGATTTCTATTTATCTTGTGTTTAAATAATGTGTGTGTATGTGTGTAGACCCAAACACACATATGTGAATGTGAAAGGGTGTGTGTGAGAGGAAAACAAAACAAAACAAACATTGCTCTCCTCTACTGGATTGTGTCCTGCTTCTCAAGGAAGAGTTTTTATGTTGTCTATGGCGATTTCTTGTACAGTTTGTAACATTTTCATTTTGGTTTTTTTCTGTTCGCATATTTTGTATAAAAAAATTTTTTTGTTTGATAAATCCCTTTTGCAGTACATTCCTGTAAAAAGTATTTTGCACTATTTAAAAAAAATCCCATATTTGAAGTCAGATTGTGCAATATTATGGATAGTCGCAATGTTCATCATTGTACCTGTAATGTAACTAATAATTTTAAATGTACTATTTTAAATATGTAAAATAAATTTTCACTATGAGCATGTTTTGAGAAGATTATAAAAGGACCAATTTCTGACCCACTTTAGTTTTTTTTTCTTTCTATGTTTTGTTCCTAATTTAATGAAATGTGAAATACTCTTTCCAATTTTTTTGTCATTTTGTTAATTTGAAATGACTAAATGCAAGAAAATGTTTTTTGATATTAAATACAAAAGGTACAATCCTTTTCCATAAAAACTGTTGTTGTTATTTTACACCTGCAATTGTCAAACCAATATCAGTTTTCTCACACAAAGTCACCAAAGCTTGATTTTGCCAGTGGTAAATGTTTCAATATTGCGGTTTAAATGCTGAAATACAATACAATTGTTCCTTGTTCTGATGCTGTCATCTCAAGAGCTATACTATTAATTATAATAGGGACAAAACCATACCAGTTGCAAATATGCCCTTAGCGATTGTTTACTCTGGCTTTTTCATAGGTATTAACCAAGTTCAACTTCAAATAGGATTTCTCTTTCAACCAAGGACAAAATTTGATAAGAAGGAAGAATCAGTGATATCCATGATTAAATACCACAAAGAAAAAGAGAATGTGCCTTTGAAGCCAGGCCTAATCATTTCTGTGTTAATGATTAATAATGTGTTAATGAGAATGGTCTGACAGTTGCAGAATTATATGGTCTAGTCAGTTGCACCTCCCCTGAGCATAGCTAGAAATTGGCTGTGTGTGAAATACTTGGCCCTCCATTCATAGGATAATATTGAAGAATCACTGAAGTGATCATTGGGGAACCTCTGAGGCTGAGTCTTGCCAATTGTGTGTACTGACAGCTGCTTAACTCTCAGTAATAGCCCAATAAATAGAGTTCCTGAGAATAGTAAGAAGTGGCACTAATTGCTCCCATAAGTTAGTCTGTTTAGGACTGCTTCATATACGACAGCAATTGACTTTAAAATGCCACTCCTGCACAGTGGTGGCTTCATCTAACTCCCTTAATGTCTTGCTATAGAGAAAATGGTGTCATTTACAGCAGCAACTTTTCGGGAAAAAGCAGCTGTATTATAATGCCATTAATGAAGCTGTGAAAATAAAGCATGACTTACCAGGTAGAAAAAATAAATACCAAAGATGGTGAAATAAGGGATGGATGTGAAACGCAATGAGACACATATAAGGGAACAAATACATAGAGAAGGCACACACACAAGAATACACGAGAAGTGAAACAAAAATAAATGAGGGTAAGGAAATTTTATCAGTATAAAAATTAAGGCCATTGATGTAGGCTTTGGTATAAGGCTATACCAAAACTGAATTCAAATATTGCTCAAATGTCTTGGGTTATGGAGAATTTTTCAGTTAATCTTTTTAAAAAGTCCACGAAATTACTTGCAGATTTGCACATATCATTTATAGCTGTTAGATGGAGGTTTCATATTATTGTAGAATGGTGAAGGGGCAAGGAAATGGTATAATGATTTGTGCATCCTGTTTCAGAGATGGGCCTTATCTGAATGTATACTAGAAAATGAGAATCTTTGCCTCCTTATTACAAATTTAAACAGAGAGTCCCTTAAGCAAGGGTTCTAGAGCCATCTAATTTCACCTGTTTTATTTTGTTTAATAATACTTTCATTCTTCCCATTGGACTTTTGTACTTAGATGGATATTGAACTCAGCTGTAACCTTGAAATATTTTTATAAGATGTATTATCAAAAGCCCTCCTCAAATACTTTTAATACATACATTAACTCATGTGATAAGAAAAGGATCATAGCCCTAGATATATATATTGTATTTACAGACTTGCTGCTGAAAAACCAAGAAAAAAGAGAGATTACACAATTCCACTGATTCAGTGAATGTACCTATTGAAAATGCAAAAAAAGGCTAAACTTTTTTAGAGTAAATACCACAAGATATCCATAAGAGATATTTCTTGAAGCACCAACAACAGCCCATAAGGATTCGTTTACATGAATTAAAGGAGGATACAGGAGAAAAGCACAGCCAGACTTGCAAGATTCTATTACTATAGCTAATATTAATAAAAGTAGTTTTGGCCTTCGTGTGGAGTTGATTTGTGATTGGTTTGGTCCTCGTAGGGCTGACAGTGGAGTACTCTAATTAATTATATATAATTGATTTAAGATTAGATTTCATTCTTGCCTTGACTCTTGTCTGCTTCTAGAAATACAGGACCCAGCACACCATTCAAAAGCTTAGTTCAGTCTTTGACCTAAACACAGTTGTGCTGTGTTGCAAAATTGGAACAAATTGCAACAAACCCTCATTTGATCATTTATTTTCATAGAGCCACTATTAAATAGCTCAAAAAGGGTTTTTTTTAATTCGTGTACATTTGTATACTGTTCTAATCATAGATCCTAGGAGCATATGCATAAGCATTTACTGCCTCCTATTTTGCATGCTTGCAGCTATAGTATTACACTTGTTGCTCTTGTGACAACTGTAATACACTATGCAGAATCACCTATTTGTATAGTATGTCATTCTGGTCCTGCATGAAAAAAGCAAAATAGAGGCTACTACCTTTTGTTTCAGTTTTTTTATTTCGGTACACATCTCAAACCTACAAATATGGTATATTTGGAAATTGAAGAATAACATTTCTGCTAAAAATCTAAAATACTACTTATAAATATATATTCTTTCATATATTGTTTTGATTAACTAAATTCTGTATTTTTTCACTTTACCTGTCATGTTGTTTTCTCTCTTCTACTTCCCCACCCAAAGAAAAACTTCTTACTGTGTCAAACCATTTTATTGTTACCATAGCACAATATGAATACAGCCAATTTAATTCTCTCTTATTTAGAAAGGTTTTTTTTTCTTTGGCAAAACACTATTGATGTTGGACTGATCAAATGCTGGCAGAGTAAAACACTAGGAAATTTAAGTATAATGAAACTTGCTCCATGAAATAGCCAATTCTGTTAATTTAATAAAATTGCAGTTGAACTTTTGATGTTTTGGAATGTGGCACTAAACTCTGGAATATGGAACTATTTGTCCACATTGTATCTAGTACTAAATCTTTGCATGTTACAAATCTTACATATACAGTTTGCTTTTCATCTATATTTTAAAGATAATGTTTGGGTTCCAACAGGAATAATTGTTTTAGAATAGTTCAAATTTCAGGTTTGAATATGTATATCCACGTAGATATATTGCAGGTGGCTTCCATCTCCTTGGGAAGAGCTGCAGAGATTCAGAACATGTATGCTCCTTGCCTTTCCACATCCCTTCCTCTTCCTACTAAGACCTGCTATTTGATTAGTGCATTTTTTGGTATAACAGGAAGTCATGTTCATGGCATACCCTGCGCATGAGAAAGCGGGCGGAAAAGGAAAGCAGTGGCAAAACGGAAGCCAATGGCCTACGTAAACCCAAGGATATTCTGGGCAACAAAGTCTCTGTTAAAGTGAGTAAGGCCATTTGAAGCTGTTTGCTGCCTACTGCTTCTCATCCTCACTCCCCCTGCAACATCTTCTCTGTGGACAGGGGGTGACATCTGGCTTTTGTTTTTGTTTTTCCTTTTTTTGCTTTTATTTTTAATTTCTTTTACTTTTTGGTAGTAGTAGCATTCTGGCCGGCGTTTGCATGCAGGATACAGCACAGCTTTTTTCTCCTCACTACTGGCATCCAAAACTGTAAGTAGAGCGAGTGTATGTGTGTGCCCGTATGTGTGCGTGCATGCATGTATATATGCCCAGGGGGCGGGTAGTACTTTACTTTCGGTAGTTTTCTGTAGCATCCCAAATATGTGTGGGGTAAAAGCTCACAAGAGTTGAATGGAACCAAAGCATGCAGCCTAAACAGGAACTATGGTAAATATGTTCTCATCATTTTCTGATAAGAGATAAGAAAACTTGGGGAATAGTAAGCCATGACAATGTAGTACAGGAAAACGATTTGGTAGGGCTCCTTTGTCTGCCTAAGGTCTTAACGTTGCATTATAGGCTTGGGACCTTTCCCCATAGTAAAGGTCATCAACCCAGTCACAGTACAACTAAAACTCCCTAAACTGTTAGGAAAAATTCACCCAGTTTTCCACTGTAGTTTGTTAAAGCCTTATCGGGGCTCCACTTTGAGACCTCCTCCAAAGAAGGCACCTGGACCCCTCGTTCAGATTCAGATTCTGGCATGATGTCACAGGTTCCGACTAATGAAGCACTTCAAAGAACTTACAGGCATGTTTCCTAAAATCTTTATTTTCAGAGCTACAGTTTTGCCGGTCACCATGATAGACTGGTTGATGCCAGAATCTGAACTTCCTGTCGCTGGCATCAAGCTTTCCTTGCTCAACCCCTCCCTTCTCATGCAGTCACAGGTCACATTATCCAATTAGTGAGAAGGTCAAACGTTTACTTCCTCTTTCTTTCCCGGGCTTTTTCCCCCGCCCAGTCTAAGCTAAGTATTAACCCAATAAATGCCAGACAGTTTTGCATATTGTCAAAGCAAGAATATACAGTATTTGCAGCATTGACACCTTGCAGAACCGCCCATCTTACAGAAGTTACTATAGCATTCATATCACAGCCTTTGCTTTCTACGAACTGGAGATGAGAAAGAAAACTCACATGTTCCTCCTATTTTTCAACTCTGAGCTAGATATGCAATGTTCCAGATTTTTTCTCCTGACTTTGGCATGACACTCCCAGAATTTTATCTCCTCTGTAGAAAGAATTCAAATACTGTAGCTTCCAGGTTATATCCCCTTAAGACAGTGGTTCTCAACCTGTGGGTCGGGACCCCATTTGGGGTCGAACGACCATTTCACGGGGGTCGCCAAACGGCTGTCCGCCATTTTTTCCCCTTTTCTTTGGCCACGCCCCTGGCACCCGGTGATGTATAAGTGGTTGGGGGTCACCACAACATGGGGAACTGTATTATGGGGTCGCGGCATTAGAAAGGTTGAGAACCACTGCCTTAAGAGGTAGTAGTGGAGACCCCTTGCTTTGTCTTCCTCCTCAATAGATACTTCAGTTCAGAAAACATGGATTCGGCAGAATTCATAAGTTGTGTGATTAGCCAAAATAATAAGTTCATACACTGTATAAAGCTTTAATGTGATTTGTTTGCTTTGATTTAGCATATTATGAGTATTATAACATCTTCAACAATGCCAGACTGAGTTATATTAACTCATAAACTAATTTGGCATGCATTCAATGTACTGTGTAGACTCAGTACAGTACTGTGTCAGTTCCATAGTTCCTATTGTTAGATTTACTCCATACTATAGAAGAGAGAAAGATTAAGGAATGCCCAGTCAAAAATTTACTATGATAGATCCATAGATTTCAAGTGAGTGGAAAACATGCATATTAAAAGTATAAAAAAGTATAAAAAACACAGTATAAAACTATAGTCAAATCACCTATTTTTCTGGAAGTTTGTACAGTTATTCAAATATGAGAGAAAATTCTTAAGAAACTTGAGTAAAATTTATCCATTGTGACATTCTGAGAATTAGAGTTTCACACCTTCTCTTACCACATGTTATATACTGAATAAAGAACCTCAAGAGCATTGAAACCAGCTGTCATATCCCAGAATATCTTCTGGCATTGATTTCAGCAGTTACTTGGAACAGGCAATTAAGACTCAGTCACTTAAAAATATGATAGGAATAAATGAGGCAATTGAACTATGGACCCAAGTTATCCATCTTTTGCCCATATTCTCAGCAATGTCTTATGTCTATGCAGATGCTATTGAAACATAATTTATAAATATGTATTTCCTTTATAAAGTTTTTTGAACGTTGATGTTTGGTGCTATTTGTTTTTGATACCAAAGTGATTTTTACAAAACAAGAACTTACATTCTGGGAGAATTGTACAAATAGAACCTATATATTGTATTTCTTCTTCTCCCCCTCCCTTTAAATCCTATTCTAAAATTAAGCAGATCTCCATTTCTATGTCACAGAAAGTTTTTATTCAAATTCAGCTTGATTCAGCAGGATGTTGCAAATTTAAGCTTGTGTTCTTATAACAAAAGTGTTTTATTTTCTCTTTTAATTAATCTTTCCCAGGTTTGTGTTTGCATTGTTTCATGGAAGTAACAGATGTTAGAAACAAATAAAAATATATGTATTTCTATTTGTTGTAATGGCTATAAAATGGGATAGAACTTTTGTATTTTTCATAATTGGGGAGAAGGAAGAATTCTTTCAGTTGCAACAATCTCCATTCTTGCAGAATTGCTCCTCTATAACTATGAAAGACAGAAGAACCCTATTTATCTGAACAATTTCAAATATGCAATCTGTGTAAAAACAAATAGCCATTTACAGTTCCACAGAGATGGAAAATATTTATCAGCTGGAAAATACTATAAATCCTTAGTGTTTATCATCATTTCACTTTATTACATTCCATTAAAATCCCATTTTTGATTTAAACCAAGATTATAATGTTCAAGAAAACAAATTCACATATATCAACATACAATATTAAAATCCTAGCTAATAGTTCTAGTACATTTAAATTTACTCATCCACTGCAGAAATGTTATTTTTTTAAATTGGCAGCACTTTCATTTTAATTCTTTTTCTTCAAATTCTAATTTAAGGATTAAACTTTTCAAAAAAACATACAGAGATGTTTAATACCAGCTTCTTACTTATACTCTCTTCTTAACAGTATTGTTCCAGAGACGTAAAATTGCATGTATTTATATTTAAGTACTTTACTATAGATCTAAATAATAAATGTTGTCCCAGCAAGCTAAAAGATTTGGAGTGTTTTTCCTAACACTAAATATAAAGTAATCTTTTCTACAGAGAGGACAACATTTTATTTAATCTCATTTATTTCAAAGTACAATATGTATTATTCTGATCACATGGCTTTTAAGATCCCAAGTAGCATATACTGTCATACAAAAGAATTACATTAAATATTAAATAAATATTAAAGAAAAAAGTAATGGAGATTTATCCACTTCTAACTGTTAAAGAATAATTTTGGCAAGCTTATCAACCCCATTATTATTCTGGCACGACCCACCAAAAGTTAAAGTACAGAGAGGTAAACATTTTATTTTTGATAAAACAGTCTTGTAATTTTATTAATAAATAATTGTGAATGGATTGGATTGAGAATTTCCTTTCATTGGCAGGAATTTCTTCAAATTGTTCTTACTCATAAAGTAGGAAGAAGGAGTCTGGGATCTGGTTGGTTGGTTTGCAAATTCCGACCACTTCTAGAACTTCCCAGAAACAGACAGATCATTCTATCTATCTATCTGTCTGTCTGTTGTCTGTCTATCTATCTATCTACCACTTGTGTGCTGCCCAACTCTCAGGTGGGGTGGGTGCTCACAATCAACAAATTACAATAAAATCAATAAAAGATAGCAAGTGCAACAGACCAGAAAGATTGAAGGGAGAGATTTTACCCTGCCTTGCACCAGGTGAAGAACCCACTCTTCATGGCTTTTCTAAACAACATCTTGGGGAGAACCTCATTCCAGAGGGCACACACTGCTACATAGTAGGCGTGCTTTCGGGTGACCCACCACTGTTTAATCGAAGGAACCCATAAAGATTTCAGTGAAGCAGATAATTAATCAGAATTTCTTCTTTTCCATTTTGTCAGTGGAAAAGGTTTTCTGGATCACTGATGAAAAAAAGTCCTGGCAGCAGGAACCTTTGCTGGATGAGATCCATTGTCTTGTCTTGACTGCACTTTGTTACTCACCGATTTCTATTTACTTTCCTCTCTCAACTCTGTTATGCATAATTGCAGTTTAAGATACTAATTCCAGCTATGGACTCTATGTCATTTGTCATAAGATGTCACAAAACTCTGTTACTATTTCTTAAAGTTAACTTTGATTTGTGATTTTTGCTAAAAAAAAAAAAAGAGAGAGGGGTATGCACAACACAGGAAACATTTTTCCATTTCAAGCTTAGAACACAGGCTTTTCTGAAATGTTTTATTTTACTGTCTGAGTTGACAGCATCCTAACAAAAACCAAACAAAAATGGATTAACTATTCTATGCTATGAAACAAAACGTGGATGCTGTCCAGTGTTCTAGCCATAGAAAATGGTGGTGGTGGGGAATCTTGTGCTCCCTAAATTATTTGCACATAGCTGCTGTCCTGCTACCCAGTCTGCAGGAAAATTGTCCAAGATAATTTCAAAGAGAAAACAATGGGACCATTTTTTTTATATTGAGATTGTATAACATTTTCAAAATTATTTAAATTATGGCTTGGCCAATCTTTCTTCAGCTGCTGACTGATAGAATGGACTGCTATCCCACCTACTTAATAACATCAAGTAGCAAGGCATACATTTTTCTAACAAAATGCTCAGAACAGCTATCTTAAATATAATGTTAGTCCCCAAAACAAAGCTAAAAAGCAACTGAGCATCCAGTTAGTCAAATGCTAGAAGAGGAAATCCTTTTTTGAACAGATAATACATTAGATCAGTGGTTCTCAACCTTTCTAATGCTGTGACCCCATAATACAGTTCCCCATGTTGTGTGACCCCCAAGTGGGTGTGGCCACCAATAAGAGGGAGTAGGACAGCTAGGGAAAAGGGAAAAAAATGGCGGACAGCATGGTTTGGCGACCCCCGTGAAATGGTCATTCGACCCCAAATGGGGTCCCGACCCACAGGTTGAGAACCACTGCATTAGATCATGCCTCCCCTTCTTTATATACACAAATCTCATGAGCATTTATGGTGATTAAAGGTGTGCCTGTCTTGGTGTTGTGTTGTGTGTGTTCTGCCAAAGGATGATGAAGCCTGTCAACACTGATAGAGCATGGGGTAAGATATATTTGGTGGGCATCTCCCTCCTTAAACAATCCATTCAGTGAATGGAGGAAGGATGCCCTTCAATACCATAGCAAATGTGCTACTTTCTGCTGTGCACCTACATTTCTCTAAATGGGGATTAAGAAATACAAAATCAGAAAATGACATTCAGGTTTTTAAAACTGGCTCCACTTCAGAATTCTGGGCTACTCAAGTTTATTACAGTTGTAGGACTTTTAAAAAAATTAATGATTAGCATTTGACACGCATGGCTAAACCTCTAAAAAAAAGGCACCCCAAAAGATTGAGTGAACCACTAGGCCCTTGACTCCTCCAGAATTCTTATTTCCTTGCCAGAATTGGATGCTAAAGGTTATTTAGATACATTTGGGGGGGGGCAGGTTCCAAGTGCCCTCCCAAATTGGGAAGCTGATATAGCAGAGGTAGTGTTTCATAGTGCTGTTTCCATTAATGTATTTTTTTTCTAAATTACTTAGACAGTTTTTATTTTATTTTATTTTGCCCAGTGTATATTGCTTGCACCTAGTGACTTTCTGTTGGAAAGTATTTGAGTTATTGGCCATTTCTATGTTGCTCTTAATTGCTCTGCTCTTCTTCTCTTTAATCTCTCTGCTGATCAAAACTCTGTTCTTTTTTCTCCATGCTGCTCAAAAGGAGACAAACAGTTCAGAAGAGTCAGAATGTGATGACCTTGACCCCAACACTAGCATGGAGGTAGACCATGATCCTTTCTATCCTCCCTCTCCCAAACCCAGTGCTAATTTCCCCAAAGAATTATATGCCTGTTTTTAAAAAGTATCTATAAAATTCAGTGACTCTAATCTAGGAGGTGTGTCTGTAGTATAATGTAGTGGAGTGCCTGTCCCAGGCAGAAGATCCTAGACCACAGGTCGGCAACCTGCGGCTCCGGAGCCGCATGCAGCTCTTTGAGCCTTCCCCTGTGGCTCCCAGCCTCCTCTGCCTTTGCAGAGAGAGAGAGAGACAGAGAGAGGCAATTGCGCTTCCCTGCTTCAATCTGTGTGTGTGTGTGTGTGTGTGTTTTGTGTGTGTGTGTGTGTGTATGTGTAAAAGAGAGTGTACTCACATGTTCTCCGAGGAGCTGAAAAGCTTACTGGGCGGAGCTCCTCCCTTTGCTGCATCTCTGCAGGAAGCAGGAAGCAGGAAGGGCAGGAGAGAGCTAGCTAGCCCAGCTAGGCTGACTCAGGAATTCTGGGAGTTGAAGTCCATGAGTCATAAAAGAGACGAGGTTGCCTACCCATGATCTTGTTGGACAACAGCTTGAAGCTTGCCAGGTGAGCAGCAGATAGGAGAGGGGGGGAGAAAGAGAGAGAGAGGGAGGGAGAGAGAGAGAGAGGAGAGAGAGAGAGAGAGAGAGAGAGAGAGAGAGAGAGAGAGAGAGAGAGAAAGAAAGAGAGTGGGGGAAGAGGAGTGGTAGACCAAGGGCAGATAGAGAGGGAGGGAGAGAGACACAGAGAGAGAGAGAGACCCTTTTGACATCTAAAATGAAGATAACACTGCATATATCCTTTTTTTAACTGTGTGTGTGTGTGTGTGTGTGTGTGTGTGTGTGTATACCATACATACATACATATACATACACACACACACACACACGCAAATACCCCCCACACACACAAACACACACACCTATAATAAAGGGTTTTATTTTAGATATCAAAAGGGTTTTGCGGCTCCCAGTGTTTTGTTTTTGGTGGGAAACGGGTCCAAGTGGCTCTTTAAGTGTTTTGGGTTGCCTACCCCTGTCCTAGACAGCAAATTATCACTCATTTAATTTTAACAATATCCTTCTGCATCAATGTGAGAATTACATATAAGATATCAAATTGTCTTGGGTTCATTCTTGACAGATTCATTCTGTAAATCACAGGTGTCAAATCTGCCACATCACGTGACGTGTCAAGACATATCGTGACTTTTTGCATTGCTGGCAATGGGGTGGGCATGGCTTTGATATGATGAAACCGGCCCACGGGCCAGAGTTTGACACCCCTGCTGTAAATGAATCTGGAACTTTCGCTATGAGCTAATACATCAATATATACAATTAATTTCTCAACTATTAATAATATAGCAGGTTTGCTCTATTTTGGTTCCACTTATCCAATTTTGAATGCAACAGTCTGATATGCTGATATGCTAAATATGTAATGGGAGCATCTATTAATTAGAATTTTGATCCGACTACAATAGAGAGGGAATTATGATTTTCAGTATTTAAAACAAGGTCAATAGCAATCAGAAATGTTTGCTGTACTAGTGAAATGCAACTGCAAACAGTAAATGAGTACTAAGGACAAAGGGCAAAAGTCCTATAAGAAGACATGCATAAAGTAGTTAACGCTTTCTTGGGAATCCCCGAGTTTTGGTACAAGACAATGAGTATGAGGTTACTTAATCCCTTTAGAACAGGGATTTTCAACAGGTGGTATGCGTACCACTGGTGGTACGCGACCACCTGGCTGGTGGTACGCGGCGTCGCCTTCCTCCCCCCGCATTGCTTTCCTCCCCCCCACTCCTTCCCAGCTCACTTGTTTGTGGAAAACATGCTGCTTGGCGGCAGCCTGCACAAACCCTACCGATCGTGCCCTGCAGAGGGCGCACGAAGAGCACAGATGCAGAGCAAGGCCCCGCCCTCCCCAGAAACTCATTGTGCAGCAATCGGATTGACTTCTTCTGGTGCATGCAGGTCAGAGGGATCCATATCGCTCTTCCCCTCTCTTCTTACTTCACAACAAATGCTAGCCTGATAGGAGACAGAGCCGTCCACTCCTAAAGTGTGAAACAGCCGGGCTCTTGGCTAACTGATCGCCTTTCTCCCCCCCATCTTTTCTACAAAACCAGGAATCGTGACTTAGTGGGGGCCTGGAGTGGATCTCGGGGTGCCCATGCATCCCTTGGATCAGACAAGCGAGCGATCGACTTTAGCCTTTGGGGAACAAAAGCCGGTCAGGGCTGATCTCTTCCTGCCTGGGAAGGTTGGAGAAGCCAGGAGAAAGTCAATTATTAGAGGGGGAGAAGCCACTTCTTCATTTAAGGCCCTTTTGGAAAAGTAACTTTTGCTGGAAAGGAAAGCAGGTTTTTTCCCCCTTTTCTTGGTTCGCCTTTTTGCTTGGCCCTCTGTTGCCTGTATCTCAGGCTTAAAGTCTGAATGATCCGGGCTCTTGGCTGATTGATTGCCTTTCTCCCACCCCCTCATCTTTTTGGGAGATGCGCCTTTGCAGTGGGTTTCCCCTTCAGTTAATTATTGGAGGTTTGAAAGGCAAGCTGCTTCCGGAGCATAAAAGTAGAGGGTCCAAATGGCGAGAGTGACACAGCTCTCTGACTCTCTGAAACAGTCTCAAAGATGGGGACCAGAGATTACTTCGCCCGAAGGAAGGGAGACTTGGTGGCGATGCGGGTTTGTCTCCCTTCCTTTGGAGGAGGGAGAAAAGTATCGCTCTCTTCCGTCAGGCGGGTGAAAATGTAATTTGAGAACGGTAACAATGTGGCCAGAAATGGGCATCTCTCAACAGCGCTGGGGAGAGCTATAGGAAGAACGATGTACCCGGAGAGGATCGGGAAGCCTGGCTTGTATGCTGGGCCCTGGTAGGGGAAAAATGACTGGGAGAAGTAGCCAGTTTGTAACGTAGGTGCCTGAAAACGGGAGATGAACCAGCGACATCCTCGCCCTGCCTGTGTGCTCTCCTCTGCCTCTGTGCACACACAGGCAGGCCGTGATGTCAGGCAGGGCCGTGATGCGTTGCTGCCTGCCAAAACCAGGCTGGGGTCTGGGCAGCGTAGCACAGGACGAAGAAACGAGGAAGGAAGGAAAATAAGGAAGGAAGGGACAATGGGAGCTGCAGCGCTGCAGCCTTCCAGTCCTGTAAGCATGGTTCAGCTGTGCTCCAGGCCTCGAATTCATTGGCTGTTCGGCAGCCGAGAGACAGAGCCTTTCAGCTTCAGACCGCTCCATCGGCCCTTGGCTCCCTGCCTCAGCCTCCCACCATCAGCTCTTCGGTGGCTAAGGTAGAAGGCGCTGACTGCTGGTCTCCTTTGCCACCCCGCACGTTGTCCTCGACCCCTCCCCCTGCCCATTCATGTCGAGCCCGCTGGGGCTTGACAGGGAGAGGGGGAGGGAAGGAGGAAGGGACAAAGAGAGAGGTGAAGAAAAGGAAGGAAAGAAGGAAGGAAGGAAGGAAGGGAGAATGGGAAAGGAGGGAAGGAGGAAGGGACAAAAGGAGGTGAAGGGAAGGAAGGAAAGAAGGAAGGGAGGGACAATGGGAGAGGGAGGGAAGGAGGAAGGGACAAGTTTTTGATACCTTGCTGGGCGAGTGGTGATACTCGGATATTGCTTTATCTGAAAAGTGGTACAATGGGTGAAAAGGTTGAAAAGCCCTGCTTTAAAAGACTGTACATGAGTGGTTCTCAACCTTTCTAATGCCGCGACCCCATAATACAGTTCCCCATGTTGTGGTGACCCCCAACCACTTATACATCACCGGGTGCCAGGGGCGTGGCCAAAGAAAAGGGGAAAAATGGCGGACAGCCTTGTTTGGCGACCCCCGTGAAATGGTCGTTTGACCCCAAATGGGGTCCCGACCCACAGGTTGAAAACCACTGCTGTACATCATGGAAGATCCTTTCCACTGGAAATAGTTGAATAATAAGTAAACAATAAAATTAAAATATGAAAGCGCATAGAAAGCACCCAGAAACGAGAAAAATGCAAAAGGCCTTCTGGATCAGGGGTCTCCAAGCTTGGCAACTTTAAGACTTAGGGATTTCAACTCCCAGAATTACCCCGTCAGCTATACTGGCTGAGGAATTCTGGGAGTTTACAAGTCTTAAAGTTGCCAAGGTTGTGGAGACCCCTGTTCTAAATGACAACACTTCACTAAGCAAGCCTGTTTTAGAAACGAAGCATCTGTCTGAGCTTAGAGATGAAGCTCTAGTTATTGGGGGGTGGAAATGTTACAGAAAACCACTTTGCAATGATGTAAAAGTGCTTCTAATGTTCTCAAACCATTTGGGGGAAAAATAAAAATATTAGACTTTCGTAGTTAGCATGTTGGGGATATCTGTAGAGCATACAGGTAAAGAGATCTCACTAATACTTAATGGGGCTGTTCCAATCCTTCCAAAGAGGTACTTCACAATGCTCGGGTATATGTAAAGCCCATTAACAACGTACCTACTTTATTGATCTGAAGAATAGTGCTTTCCACCTATTCTTTTGCATTGTAGAAGACTTCTTTCTAACCATGTGCATAGTCCTAATATTTAATATATTAGAACACCTAAAATCTATTCCTTTACCAATTCATAAGTAAAAGCTAGATTTGTGGACTTCAGGTGATACCTAGGTCTGCACTTAAGTCTCCCCACTTACTGTGTTTGTTTTTGACTAAGCAATGCTAATGCTGATATCAGAGTACTTGCTGTGCTTGCAATTATAGTTTCTTTTCAAAGGCTTTTAACAGAACATCCATTGCTACTGCTTTGCTGATTTATTCATATAAGTTTGAAGGGGGGGGGGAAGGAGCTTGGAACAAAACAAGATGCAGCAGTAATGTTTGTTTGTATGAGGCAAGGGAGAGGACTTAAAATGCTGCTGTTCAAATATTACAGCAGTAGTAAATTCTATGTGAGCACAAATAGAAATTTCTCCATGTATTTCTTACATTGTCCCCATGAAAAAAAGAGCAAATCGCTCA